TATAAACAGAAAAACCCTAAGTTTAGTAGTTGCAATTTGAATTTTGATTTGATTTTTGTAATAAAAATGATATGGACCAGGAGTATCATATACACAATACATTTTTCATCCAAAAATTGCTTCATGTGGTGTGCGACCATGCGCTTTATGAACGGTCAAATTATATAACACCACAAACACATCTATTACATTAATCCAGTTTTTTCTCTATAACTAGTTATTTTTATCCTAAAGCAACTTAGTGAAACCGCGACCCACAGTCTGATTGAGTTGTTCAATTTGACCCTGCGACTGTGGATGGCGAGGCCTACTATGCCTAATTGTAATATTGAGGGCCCCACAAATTTCTGTGATAATTCTTGCAACAAACTCCTTACCGTTGTCGCTTTGAAGAATCATAGGGGGTCCAAGAATTTTAAAAACATCTTTTAGAAGATGCCCCACAACCGTACTTGCTTTCTTGTTTTTCATGGGAACCGCAACCAAAAATTTGGAGAACACACAGACGCACGTAAGTAGCCACGCAAAATCACCATTGACTTCAGCAAAATCTCAGAAATCAATTAAGTCAATTTGAACATACTGCCACGGTGCTAGTGATACTACGTTTCTCATGTCAGTTTTTTCTTTGATGGAGGTGGTTACTACGCAAGCAGCACACTGATTTACATACGCTATTACTTCCTCCTGCGTAATTCCGATATGCTTTTCTAAAATTGCGGAGAAAGTTTTATAATACTCCCGGTGGTTCGCTTGGTCATGGAAATGCCCCAAAATTAGAACACACATTTCTTCATCATACTTGGGGACCACCCGACGTTTTTCTAATATCACACCATCCTTCTCAACCAGCCAAACATAGAGGAAGTTATTTTTGTCGACTTCAAATTTTTTGCAACGACGAATAAAATTAGATTTTTTTGTGGAATCTTGTTGGATATCGTTTGGTATAGTCTTTGATTAGAGGTATTCAACGATTGTTTGAAACTCCCCCGGAGTTTCTGAAATTTTTGGAATTGCCAGCATGTTTTTTTTTTTCTGTTCCTTTTTTTTTCTTTTTTTTTTTTGTTTTCTTTTTTTTTGTTTTCTTTTTTTTTTGTTTTCTTTTTTTTGTTTTTTTTTTCTCTTCGCTAATTCTTGTTTTTATGTTTCTTATACTTCGCTAATTCTAGCAAACGGCGGTGAACTCTTTTTTTACAGTAAATGGTAAGTTTTTTCATTAATCTTACGTTTTGAGGCGGAAATTCTTTATACTCACTTTTATTCACTTTAATCCGGTCTGTCTTCAAAGCAGAATACTGGAATGTACGGTGCTGCGAAGAAGGCTTTGTTTTTTTTTTGATTATTATATCATTATACGAGATGCGGAAATTTTAGGAAATCCGCTGATACGGATGTCACGTGGATTTCAGCATCATCCGATTTCAGCATCATCCCCGACAATAAATAAATTATTATATATCGAATGCAATATCTAGAATTTGAGGTTTCGACTTTTGACAAAGGTTTCATCTAACAAGTTGTTAGACAAAATCTCTGTCGAAAGTCGAAACCTCAAATTCTTCTGACAAAAGTCAAAACCCTCAAATCCTTATGACGAAAGTCGAAACCCCAAACTTAAAATTTAATAATAGTATCTATGTATCAGCAATTCGGCTTTATAGAGTAAGGGATAATGTTTTTTAAACTAAAAGCCCACTAGCCCATATATAGTAAGAAAACAAGAAAATTACAAATTTGATTATTTTTATGTATCGCATTCATTCTCACAAAGTCAAGTCAACTCAAAAGCCTCATAATGTGGTGCTACTACACAATCGTATTATGAAAGAAAACATGATTAGCAATTAGCCTGCTAGTGTAAATTAGTCTGGAATAAATCAAGTAATATAATAAAAAAGATATTTATCAATTTATTTAGTTAATAATATTAATTGTAAGTATGTATGTTGCAGTAGCGGTAGATAATCATGCGAATGACGATGAATTGGTGTCGAAAAGGCCTGGGCCTGTCGTTAATGGTCCTTATCCTTGTTTTTTATTCTTTAAAATCATAGCATCTTACATCATACAACATAATATAAAAATCAAAAAAAAAATCAAATTCTTGCATTGTTTCTTGTTAGTGTCACATGAACAATCCTGAGTTCATAATTATGTTCCTTGAAGAATTACAGGTTTCACTTTGCAACACTCATATATAGCATTACATAAAGTTAGCATGATATCTTTTGTTAAATTTAAAGAACATACTGTATACTTGCAAAATATTCTATCTACTAACGATAAATTTTTCATCAGTACTAGACCATGATAATAACAACGAATTTAATAATAACCTTAATAATGATCAAGATGACGATCACAATAGTAAGGATAATGTTAGCACCTCTAGCAAGCATGGCGGTGGAAGTGAAAGAAGTGAAATGTGGCTTTACTTTACGAAAGTTATATGGACGAAAGAAAAAAAAACAGCACAGTGCAAGAACTGCAACCATGAACCATTTTCTTGTGGAGTTAATGGTACAACCAAACCATTATGGCAACATTTAGAGAGTGCTCACTGGGCAAAATATGTCTTGAAAAATTTGCTGGTAAAAAAGTAAGTTTTTTTTTTTTATAATAAAAAAAAAAAAAATCAATCTATTAAAAAGTTTATTTTAGATTTCGGCTAGCATATCCACTGAAGTTGATAATATAAAACTTTGTAATATGTTCGCTCGTTGGATTATTTATCGTCAACGGCCGTTTTCCCTAATAGAAGATCCTGAATTAACCGAGATTGTGCAATATCTGAACCCCACAGCACAACTAGTTAAAGCGGATATGCTTAAAAATACAATTTTGGCACTTTATAATTCTGGAAAAGCATGCCGGCAATTCCAAAAATTCCAGAAACTCTGGGGGAGTTTCAAACAATCGTTGAATACCTCCAATCAAAGACCATACCAAACGATATCCAACGGGATCCCACAAAAAAATCCAATTTTATTCGTCGTTGCAAAAAATTTGAAGTCAACGAAAATAACTTCCTCTATGTTCGGCTGGTTGAGAAGGATGGTGTGATGTTGGAAAAATATCAGGTGGTCCCCAAGTATAATGAAGAAATGCGTGTTCTAATTTTGGGGTGTTTCCATAACCAAGCGAACTACCGAGAGTACCATAAAACTTTCTCCGCAATTTCAGAAAAGCACATCAGAATTACGCAGGAGGAAGTAAAAGCGTATGTGAAACAGTGTGCTGCTTGCGTAGTAACCACCTCCATCAAAGAAAAAACTGACATGAGAAACGTAGTATCACTAGCACCGTGGCAGCATGTTCAAATTGACTTAATCGATTTCTGAGATTTTGCTGAAGTCAATGGTGATTTTGCATGGCTACTTACGTGTGTCTGTGTGTTCTCCAAATTTTTGGTTGCGGTTCCCATGAAGAACAAGGAAGCAAGTACGGTTGCGGAGCATCTTCTAAAAGATGTTTTTAAGATTCTTGGACCCCCTATGATTCTTCAAAGTGACAACGATAAGGAGTTTGTTGCAAGAATTATCACAGAAATTTGTGGGGCCCTCAATATTACAATTAGGCACGGTAGGCCTCGCCATCCACAGTCGCAGGGTCAAATTGAGCAACTCAATCAGACTGTGGGTCGCGGTTTCACTAAGTTGCTTTGGGATAAAAATAACCAGTTACAGAGAAAAGACTGGATTAATGTAATAGATGTGTTTGTGGTGTCGTTTAATTCGACCGTTCATAAAGCGCATGGTTGCACACCACACGAAGCAATTTTTGGATGGAAAATGCATTGTGTATACGATACTCCTGGTCTATATCATTTTTATTACAAAAATCAAATCAAAATTCAAATTGCAACTACTAAACTTAGGGTTTTTCTGTTTATAGCAGATCCCTCTGGAACTGCCGCCGCCTCTGAGACCACCACCACCCCGAGACCACCATCACTAAAACTACCACCACTGAGACCACCACCCCCAAAACCACCACCACTGAGACCACCACCCCCGAAACCATAACAAACGAAGCTGCTGTAGAGAAACGCATTTCACATATGCTTGAAATTCATCAATCCATAAATGCTTCACTTGAAAAATATCGTGAAAAATTAGGCCGTCGTAGTGTGCATAGAAAAAAAATGGTAAACAACACAATCAAAGCCGGAACTGAAGTTGCTATTGCGCCCAATCATGACATGAATCAACAAACTCGCAAGAGGAAATTGCAGCCGAATTTTTCA